CCCCAAAACCCCAAAACCCCAAGATAATTGATTGGATCCTATATCATAAATGTGATGAAAATAATTAAATCTTATTACTAATTATATAATGAGAATACTAATAAAATCGCAGACCTCTTAAACTATCATATTCAAAAAAGAATTTAAAAATCTCAATGTTGATATAAACTTTCATGCTCCTAGTCTTTGGATACATTTTTTGGGAAAAGATAATTAAGCTTTACTACAATTATTGGTATTATACTAGTTAGGGAATTGTGCCTACTGATTTCCCTCTTCCAATCATTGGTGGTCTTCACAACTTTGCTCAGCTAATTAAAAGATTGGACAAGTATAATGAGCATCCAAGCATTGAGTACATAAAATGGAGAGTCGGAGAAAATCTACCTCCAATGGTATATGATTTAAAGATACCAACTGGTGCTATAGTAATCAATGATCCTGATGTAGTCCAAGAACTATTTTCAACTTCTAAGGCTAAATATCTTGATAAATATAGTTAGAATGCAGGACTGTTTGAAGCATTGACAGGCAAAGATGGTTTGCCAGGTATGAAAACATAAGATCCCAATTTATCTATCAGAAGAAAGCATGTGTCTGCTGCATTTTATAAAGATAGGTTAACTATACAATTAGAGGCTGTTATAAAGCTTACATTCAATAGACTAAAAGATATGAAGGAAGCTCTGAATGAATCAAACAACGAAATAAACTTAACATCTTGGCTAGGAGAAATGGTGATGCACTCAATTTAGATATGTGTATTTGGGTTAGACAGTAATGATCTCAAACTAGATTATATCGAATAGGGGAAAATTCAAACTCTGCCTCTATCAATGTTCATGAAGAAGCTTTCAGTATAGCTATTTGTTAGAATAATAAAAGTCTATAGGTTGTGCTTTTCTAGTTTAAATAGTTTCTATATTGGATAACAGGAACAAGAGTATAGATAAAACGCTTTGTTTTTTAGGCAATTCTTGAAAGATGTGATTTCATAGAGAAGAAAAAGAATATCTGAAGGTTATCAATCTAATGACTTTGTTGATCTTCTGATCAGAGATGAGTTATATGAGGGGAAGGATGAGACAATATTGGATGAATGTTGTATATTCATGTTAGGTGCCACTTAAACAACAGTAACCACAATTAATAACGCTCTTATTTATATTTACAAAGATAACTAGATCCTATAAAAACTAAGAGAGGAAATTGCTCAAAATTTCAACTTTAAAGACATCTCATTGGTATTTTCAATATTTTTGTGATTTGTTTTTAGTTAACCTCAGAGCATTGGATTAAGTAGTTCAATTATGATAAAATGTCATCTGAATCCACATATATTCAGAAAATAGTATCCGAGACACTAAGAATTGAACCTCCTTTCAGATTAAGTGCAAGATATGAATTAACTGAAACTCTCGAACTTAAGGGTTATAGAATAAAGAAAGGTGATCCATTACTCTTTAATATCTATGGCCTATCTCGTGACCCTAAGACTTGGATTGAACCAGAGAAGTTTATCCCTGAGAGATTTGATCCTGATTCAAAATACTTCTTGACTCCTGATGGAAAGAAGAGAAAATCTTCATCTTATATCCCGTTCTTTGGTGGATTAAGAGTATGTGTTGGAAAGACCTTTGCCGACAGCTTCGTCAAAACAATAATTCCTATAATAGTGAATTTGATTGACTTTGAATTCATCGACAAGTCAATCTTTGAGAAAAAAATACCTATATCTATTGGTGTTGAGCCTGAAATAAAAGTGAAGGCAAGTTTCAGAAAGGATTTTTGACTTAATAACAAAGATTTTGATTTTATTTGATTGAATTTATTTCATAACTACTGAACTTAAATCTATAAGCAATAGAGGGGTTTTGGGGTTTTGGGG